GATAATCACCGAGCCTGAGGCGAATAATTGTTTTAGTATTTTTGTGTTTTTTTGGGACTGAACTTATTTTAATTTCGCTTATTTCTTTATCAGTATAACGTCCACAAAACGGCTAGCCGCCATTTTGAAAATTTCAGTTTTGTTATATTCACCTGTAGGTGAATATAACAGCTTAATACGTCAAATTTGACCAATCAACTTGTAGGATTTGTTATGTTCACTTGTGCAAAAATACCAAAATGTGATATAACAAAGCCAGGAAAACTTTGCTAGTGGAATGTTCGGCGTTAGCTATATTATTATTAAACGTAAGTTAAAACTACAATTGTCTCGAACATTTTTATGTAAATTACTAATAAGTAATAGCATGGTTTCTCGTAAAATTTGGATAAACATGCATTCGTGAGTTTTTTTGAGGTCTTTGCATGAAAAACTCACTTGTGCATGTTATATCCAAATTGCACTCGAAACCATGCTATTACCTATACATACAGTAATAGTTGTAGCGAAAACATCCATGGACATTTATACTTCGATATAACAAATTATATATTTTCTAGGTTTAAGTTATGGCTTACAGTTTCGTTTTAAGTTTGAATGATGAATTAAAGACATTAAATTATCCGATATCGTGGAAAGTGGTGCTCTGGTTGACAACATGTTTATGTATGAATATTTGCGTGTAACATGACTTTATAAATATTCATGCCTATATGCTCATGCAGAACGAATATCATCACCTCGAATATCACAACTCACCTCAGGACTCAGTCACTCTCAATTGTAGATTATTGACAATGTCTAGACCATCAAACAGTTTTCTTTTCTTGAATTTTCCATATTAATAACATTTCTTCTCTATATATTCTTGCTTTGGAAAATATTAGACAAACACATGAAAAGTCAATTAATTAATGATCACTTTGCATATTTTCGCGCGATAGGCAAATAGCCTGGAACTAGTGTTGTTGGGTTTTGTTGGGCCAACAGAAAGCCAACGCAAATCCACTATTCCTAAAACGTGACTCGTATGTGTTTTTTTATGATCCATATCTTTTACCTTTATCGGTGGATACCAATGTTAATAGCGAAGAATAAAAAGTTTGGTTTACCTGAAAATTGGAAAAAGAAAATTTGACATTTTGAGCTAACGCGCTTTATAGTCTTGATGTTAGTTGCATGGGTCCAAAAAACATACGGGTGTTTTTATACTAGGGAACCCATACTAGTGTTATGATGACTCAATAAAACTATATGTAAGGAATTTAAGGCCACAGGGTGACGAGTTTGACAAAGTTTACTGTCAAAAGCATTTGTAAGAAAGGGTTGGCGTTCTCCTCACATAAGCCGCAAGACTGCTCGCACTAGAAAATGCTCGAGAAACAGTAAAAATGACGAATAGCGCGTGTAGTATTCTGTGCCCGTGGTGTGTATCTTAATTAACCATTTCCTAATCAAACAGAGGGCTGGGTCTAGTTAATGTTTGGAGGGATGTTTGGAGGGACAACAAGTTATATAGTGAGCGAGCTAAATATATACTAAAAGATGCCTTATTATAATTGTTGCGTTTCAGGCTCCACAAATAACTTTAGGAATGTAGGAAAACATAGATGCCATATTTGGCATATTGTTTATTTTTTGTCCCTCCAAACAAGCGACTAAACCCAGTCCTCTGCTCGATTGGGAAATGGCTAATAGGACATCATGTCCTCAAATTTCCCTACACGGCAAAAAACGCCGAGCCCGTTGCTCAACAGGAATAAACAATGTTTTGCTGCCCACGTTGTTCACACTTGTCAACAATATTGAACAATGTTGTTGAGCCTGAATCAGGTGTAACAACATTGTTCAGTATTGTTGACAACTGTGAACAATGTGGGCAGCAAAACATTGTTCAATCCTGTTTTCATCATTATTGCATCAACCTGAGCGTTTTTATGCGTGTAGATGTGCACGTCAAGCTCACGCCATGACACTTGCTAGCAAAATGGCGTCCTGAAAAACATGAACTTTTGTACTTTATTGCGGCTTAAATAAAGTTGTTGAAAGTAATTAAAGTTGTAGAAAACAGGTGTTGAAAGCATTTTTGAAAGCAATGACGTATTACCAAATGACGAATAATCAAGCGAGCAACACTTGCTAGGAAGATGGCGACCATGGGACAACTTTATCAAAGTAACGCATCAGTTCTTACTTAATCTATGGCGCGGGTAAGGAGACTGTAAATGACGTGCGTGTAAATGACTGTAAATGCTTTTAAAATCCGCCATCTTTGGCTTCACTTTTTGATTACGTCACTGACTGAAGTCAGCCTTCCATCACAGAGTAGATATTACTGTAGTCTCTCCTCTGTGCTTCCATGTATATAGTTCACTGGTCCGACCTCCTCTGTAGATAGTCCAGGGTGCATTCCATGTAAACTCTACGCCAGAGATACGCCAACATCTACGATCCTTTACGCCAATACATCGGAGATTTTCAATTTTGGGGACTTAAATCCATGTTTTGAAAATAGCTAATATGGTGTGTTTTTAATATGGGTCGATTTCACGTTGAGGACATTACATTCACAGAAAAACAATAAATACAAAACATGCTCTGCTTCCTGTTTGCAACAGTTTCTGATCTGGGAACTTTGTCAAAGAAAACCTTAAGGGGACGACCTCTTAAGATTTCATAAAATAAAACAAAATTCCCTTGTAATCACTTCTTGTAATAAAAAGTCAAAGTACTGTTGCGGACATTACAGCAAAATCAACCACACATTGAAGTGACGTTTTTAAAATGTAATTTCCTGTGAACTTTGAAAGGTATCAAAGGAACTAAAACACTGCCTGCTCTCAGTGATAATTGGGGTTAAAAAATATGAAAACGAGATGTTCTACAATGCCCTTGCGCAGCTTCTATAGTGCAAAGTTTGTGTTGCGGACATTACACTGAAACTGTTGCGGACATTACATTTTTGGGATTGTATAGCAATCTGTATTAAAAATAATAAGAAATCAAAACTGGGTGCCTGATTATGCACTTCAAAGTTTCTAGTCCGCATAACAGGCATTCTAGCTTAATCTATTTACATTTGTATAACATGATTAAAAACGATTAAAAACGATAGTAAACATGATTAAAAACGTCGCCAGACGCCAGGAAATATTTTTTAAAAAGACAAAGTAAAATTAAAATAACTTACCTTGGTATTAAACAGTCAAACAGACACAACGTATGCTGTATTATACTTTGTGCTTTAGGTTTTCGCATTCTAAGTTATCGAAGCGTTGCCGGCCTTTTTTGTGACGATTCTTCGGCGTTTTCGGACGTTTTCCAACTTTTTTAAACACTGTTTGTATTTTGTTTAAACTCCCGCGCAATCCACGCAACCCGCGTGAAAATTCCCCGTGTTTCTATCGAGTTATAGAAACACGGGTTTTTTTTATCTTTTGACCAATCAGCGACCGTGTTTTTAAAAGGCCATTTTATAAAACAATTTATTGAATTCGGTTTTCGCACAATATATGAAGAATTATCAAGCTCAGCCTTCAGCTTCGGTTGATAACGGCAAACTTTGGATTTGATAATTCTTCATATCGTGCTCAACCTCATTCAATATCATTGTTAAATATATGTGACCATGATTTCATCCCAGGATTTATGTTGGTTAAATGTTTACTAACTATTTAAAACAGTGCTTTCTTGCAAGCATGTACGGTGTTGAGTGAATTATATACTTTATAGTAAAGTAAGCCTGTTAAGTGTTGTCTGTTGTTTTGACAGCGATATACTTGTTTACTTGGCTATGCTTTTTATTCTTTACACGACCGTATATTAAGATAGAATTTTAATAATATTTGAATGAATGTAATTAAAATCAATAAATTTATCTTTTTTATTGTTTTTAAAAGGCTATTTAAGGGACTGGTCATAAAGTAACTGCTAGGGTGGGCTGGAGGTAAATCACAAATTTTGCCAATAAGTTTGGTGACCCATCTTAGAATGTACATAAAAA